TATTTTTGGCTCAAATTTTTGTGACGCCACTGAATATGAAAAATAGATTCATATCTAGCGAGAAATTTAAAGTTGTGCATACATAAGACCTTGTCAGAGTCAGAATGATGAATGGCTACAATTTATTTGCTTTCCCTTAAAAAAAAAATGGATGCAGAAAAACGTGCAAATCCCTATACGGACGTCAACCATTCAGTCCGTATCAACAAAACCACACACACACACATACAAATTGACTAAAAGTTGGTCACCAACCACAAATATGGTATTTTCTACATAGACCTATTGAACTACTTCTCTTCGATCGAAGGATATCATGATTGGATTTGTGTAAACGCATGAGGAAGCAATTTATTTTCTAAATTTTGTTTGGTTAACAAACACACTATAAAACTTTTTGCCAACGGAGTTCAAATTCGTGACGTGCGTTTTGGGGCCCCCCACAGTAAACAAAGCCAAGATCTCCCGACACTTTGATTGATCACTCTGTGCATAGTGCCATGGCTCTATACTTTCTTTTCATATTGCTTTTTGAGGGTAGCTTATGACTAAAGATGTCTGAACACTCCGACACATAATTCAACAAAATATACCGCATTGTTCAAACCAAAAAGATTTCTTTATTCCCGTGAATAATACGTGATTACAATTTTAAAACCTGGAAACAACTTTAAAAAAGTTTTAAAACTATAAAAGTTCTTACATAAAAGATTGCTAAAGTTTTCAGTTAGAACAAGGGAACTTTTCAAAGAAGTTCGCTGCTGCTGTTTGAAGAATATTTATTAATATAAATAACCCATTGGCGAAAAAGGTGGAAGAAGGAGAAGAAGGTACCAATTATCGGCTGCTAAAAAGGCACAAAATCAAGAAATCACCTTCGGGGCAGTTGGCTGGAAAACTTGTTCGCTATGCCCTAAGTAAACATGTAATCAATTTTGCATCTCTAAGTGAAGCCGATGTCAGAGAGGAGCTCGTTTGACGAGTTGAATGATGTTAACAAGGACGGTGTAAGTAGTAGGGTTATACAACTTTTCGAATGAAAGAAAAATTTGTGTACCCAATAATCATTTTAGTTTCAAAATAATTCCAAGAAGGGAGAAATTGAAGAATTTGCATCCTGGGTCATCATCTAATTACGTTATCTTCTATATGCTGATGAGTGATGACACAGCTTTCATATGGAAAAAATTGGAATATCTTAATCAAGGTAATACCTATATATCAAAGCAAAATAAACTGATAGTAAATTTGCTCCTTTAATTTGCATCCGATTTCAACGCAATTAGGCTCTAATTAAAGCCAGTTGAATTCTCTATAAACCTATTTATTGCTGCTCAAAGCTTCACAGAAAAGTCTTCAACCGAGTCTTCAACTAAATCAGAAGACCACATCAGAAGACTTCTTTGAGAACTTTCCAGGAAATGAAAAAGACCGTTCTCTGCTCAGAATAATTTCTGTATCCAGTTGTGAAAAATACTATATGATACTTTCAGGTCTTTTCCCAGCTTGTTTTCAAGGGAAATTTGGAAAAAACAGAAGTTTTCACTATTCAGAAACCTGAAATGGAAGCCCTAATGCAAAACAAAACAAATCAAGATCCTGGCAATTCTGGCATAGAAAAAAAATGCAAATCCTTGAGAAGGATCCAGATCCCTGAAAGTTGTAATGATTGCCAAGAAATCACAACAATTTCTAAGTTTTCCCCAATACAACCACTCGCAAATGAAAACGTCTTCTGTAATAAATATTAATATTTGAGTTCTCTTTTTCAAACTCTCATCAAGTGACACTCAGACCATCTAAAACTTCCCGAATGTGGTATCAGACGACAAACCAACACCACACCAACTCGAATCAAACTCTCGTTTAAACTCAAACACACGGTTTGCCGAGTCGCTAAACCTGGCATTCTGGTCACGTCGTCTACGGCAAATTCAATTATTCACTGTCACCGGAAGTAGATACACAACGAAAACACGACTTAATGCACTTATCACCTCCGCGCGCTCTACCTAAATTACCCCACAAGTCCCAATCTATTAATGGGGGGGCTTTAGCGTCCATTTTTATACCGTGTACGTGAACTGCGTTTTTTTTTTCGAATTAAGGAAACGGATACCGAGCCACGTATATGGGCTCTCTTCTTGGTGAACTAGTGTTAATGGTGTACGCGAGAAGCATATAATTTTAACCTATACATTGTTGTTACGTAGGATTTATATCCTTTTTTGGAGTGTTATTAAAGGTAACGGACAACACCCAGTATAGATGTAACATTTCAAAATATTTCCAGTAAGTACTTTATGGATACAACAACAAGAGCAAGTCGTGTTGTTGAATTTATCACTGTCATACATTTTTAAATAAAACTGTTTAAACAATAGAGAGTAAAACGTGGCGAGCGTGGGTTTGCTTAATAATGGTTCTATTTTCTGAATATGTTTAAGTACCTGCAAAGAATATCGAAGAGAAATTTACAAAATGGCATTTGAAACCTATATGAAGTTAATGCCTCCTTGTTGTTCCCATGCTAATTTTTCGTTTTCACACCGTGAATTTTAACTTAAATTGAATTGTACGGACGGTAATTGCTTAATTGATGCGTGACATTTATACGAATTACTGTCGGACGTCTCGAATGGATGGGAGGAAATTTAAAATGAACTATTCATAGGCATAATTTATTGACGCCGTGGCTGGGAAAACGGTAAATTAAAAATGTGCACTTCAAATAGTCGGCAAAATAATATAAAATGAAAGTGTAGATGATGGCTTTGAGCCAAGTGGTTGTTAAAATAGACGATTATAATGAAGTAGGTAAATGCCAGGAAAATAAGTAAATGAATTACCTACTCGGGTTGAAGTGATATGATTAGGCATATTAGGAGGATGGTATGAGTTAATGTTTTTTTTTCATCATAAATTTATTTTAGGAAAAGTCCTCTGGATATGGAGTTGAGTTTTCGTTTATTAAAGTTTTTTTCCAGTGTTGCCAGGTCATATTTTGTTTTGTCAGTAGATTACTAGTCTAAATATCACTAGAAATCAGTAGACAGATAAGTTGCCTTGTTAAAGGGGTAAACTAATAGAGTATACTCTATTAATTATTTTAACTACGTTTTTTCAAATGATTAAATCATTAGACTGTGTATTGGACTATGAAAACTTGCATTAGAAAATCAAACACCAATACTACTTATGAGATATAGTTTATCAAGATTAAGACACATGAGATATTCCTATTAAATATGCACTACCTATAGGATGCCCTATATTTGGTTCTATATTCTTGAAGAGTACAATTTCCCGATTCCAAAACTATATAGTTTGTCTATATTTGGTTGAGCCGGCTCCAACATATTTGGTTCTAAAAATTTTAAAAATACTATCAGAGAAACCAAGTACAGGGTTATTGGTTATAAATGTCACCCCCTCTATCTTTTTTATTTGACATTTTAGAAAAAAGTGTCCCAAATAAAAAATTTATGGTTGAAATTAAATTTTTTGAAAAACCCACTTTTGCATATATAGAGTGTTTCATAAAGTTGGTCGTGCTCCAACTTTCTTATTTTAAATTGAATACCTTGTATATTATTCAATATTCGGATTCTACGTCAAATTCTGAGCAGATTTCATGTGATATACCTCATACCTAAGTTCAACTGTTTTGGAAATATTGACAGTTGAAAATTGACTTTTTTGCAAATCTGACAGGCTGTAAAACTTAAACGGTTAACTTTTGAGCAAAACCGATCTCTCGCTGCGCTCGTCCCGCAGCCATCTACTCACCAATATACTGTTGAACTGTTCAAGACATTCACCTGAAACATGTAGTTTTTAAACTAATGAGAATAACTCACATTTGAGTGAGCCCGGTTAATATCGTAATTAAACAACATATTGATGAATAGATGGCTGCGGAACTCGCTGCGCTCGTCCCGCAGAGGTCCACCCATAAGTTCCGCAGCAATTCACTTATTTGTACTTGAATAACTTGTCACAATATATTATTATGTAGTTTGGTAAAGTGACATTACTAATTCCTGTTGAACGGCGAATTGACAAAAAGTGGATAATCTTACAAATTCTGACATTATATAAGTTATTGTTCAAGTACAAATAAGTAGATTGTTGTGGAACTTATGGGTGGACCTCTGCGGGACGAGCGCAGCGAGTTCCGCAGCCATGTACTCACTGATATACTGTTGAACTGTTCAAGTAAGACATTCACCCGAACTATGTAGTTTTTAAACTAATGAGAATAACTCACATTTGAGTGAGTCAGGTTAGTATCGTAATTAAACAACATATTGATGAATGGATGGCTGCGGAACTCGCTGCGCTCGTCCCGCAGAGGTCCACCCATAAGTTCCACAACAATCCACTCGTTTGTACTTGAATAACTTGTCACAATATATTACTGTTAGGTAAAGTAACATTACTAATTCCTGTTGAAAGGCGAATTGACAAAAGTTGGCAATCTTACAAATTCTGACATTATATAATGCTATTGTTCAAGTACAAATAAGTGGGTTGTTGCGGCACTTATGGGTGGACCTCTGCCATCTACTCACCGATATACTGTTGAACTGTTCAAGTAAGACATTCACCTGAACCATGTAGTTTTTAAACTAATGAGAATAGCTCACATTTGAGTAAGTCAGGTAAGTATCGTAAATAAACAACATATTGATGAATAGATGGCAGAGGTCTACCCATAAGTTCCGCAACAATTCACTCATTTGTACTAGAATAACTTGTCACAATATATTACTAGTTTGGTAAAGTAACATTACTAATTCCTGTTGAATTGATAAAAAGTCGATAATCTTACAAATTCTGACATTATATAATAAGTTATTGTTCAAGTACAAATAACTGGATTGTTGCGGAACTTATGGGTGGACCTCTGCGGGGCGAGCGCAGCGAGTTCCGCAGCCATCTACTCATCAATATACTGTTGAACTGTTCAAGTAAGACATTCACCTGAAACATGTAGTGTTTAAACTAATGAGAATAACTCACATTTGAGTGAGTCAGGTTAGTATCGTAATTAAACAACATATTGATTAATAGATGGCAGCGGAACTCGCTGCGCCAGTCCCGCAGAGGTCCACCCATAAGTTCCGCAACAATTCACTCATTTGTACTTGAATAACTTGTCATAATATATATAATTCCCCACCCAGTTAGGTTGTTGAGTGCAGCGCCTGCACTGCGAGCGTTCGATTGTTTCAATACAAATCACACCGGACTGATCGGAGTAATCGGGCAGACGTCGTTCAGAGGGCACTCCTAGAAGTCCTAGCCCAAAGGTCGCGTATGAAGTTATTGCTGAGACATTCTCATACAAGATTTTAATTTAAAAAAATATCATAAAGAGCAGGTAAATAATGACAGCGGCTTCTATCAGTAAAATTCACATTAATATCAGTATATCAGTAGACCAGTGGCCAAATCAGTAGATCTAATGATAAATCAGTAGACTTGGCAACACTGTTTTCTTCCATTATTTTTTGTATGATATCTCATTCCCTCCATGTCCTGTTTCTGTTGTCAATATCTCTAGCATAGATGTGGTGTGACTTTTTTCACGTTTTTCTACTGTGATATTTTGTTTCCCTAAGAATGAGTTGTTATTGTTTCTATGACACCTTGCTCTCCTTGTTCTTCTTTCTTCTCCTGGCTTCTTCATCAATTTTTCTGTTCATCTGAAACCTTTCTTCAGCTTTTCGTTTCATTTCTCCCAATTCATGTGTGAATATGTTTTGATTTTATTTCATGTCTCTCATAGATAATGAATATTCCACTGAATCCTTTTACATTGAACCATGAAGCAGCTATTTCAAATTTTGAAGGCAGTAAATCGGACCACCACACAAGACTAATCCGCAAAATTGACGATCAATATTTCGCGCTACATTTAATGAATCAATCAAGCCTCTACTTTAAAGAAACGTTCCTCGCATGTTTTGACACTGGCGCGCCATACCAGCACCCAGAGCAGCGGAGCAGCAAAAGCAGGTACCCAAAGTTAGACGAAGAAGCGGTACTCTTTTGTCCTTGTTAGGGCTCAAGCCGGGCGCAATTTACGACGGGTACCCTCGTTAACTTTTCAAAGTGGTCAAAGACTAAAGGCAAGGCACGTTTGTCACGGCTCGTTTTCGAGAAACCCATAGGAACAGGTGTGTATATGGGGATTTCGAATTTCACTTTTTACAAGCCTGTGAACTATCATTGGTAAATTTACTTATTTCTCATTATCAGCTCAATAGTTTAATAATTGTCTACTCCAATAAAGGAAAATTTTTGAGCTTTATATATTTTAAGGTGTCTATTGAACAATTATTTGAAAAAAAAAAAGGTAACAAAAGCCTTAGATTACATAGTGCAGCTGCTTTAAGCCGAATTGTGAGGGTGTCGGCATGTATTCTTTGCCTCAAACAAGCATAAAGACTTAAATTACCGAATTGCTGCACCAATTTCTGGCAAACAATAATACCTGCTCCCTTGTTGGATTAAAAAATTGTACACATTTCGTGTCGGCGAAAAATTCTATATTTCCTGTGCGTGTGTGCTTAATAAAAGATTTGTCGAAAAATTTTCAAAGCTCACCGCCTATGATTAGATTTCATATTAAAGCTTCCGAAACCGAAGCGCTTGCTTTTGTTGGGAGTTCAAAATTACGAAATGTTTTAATCCAGCATTAAAATATCCGGTACTTAGACATACATTCCAGTACTATTTATACAGGAATTAGAGTGGAAATATAGTGTAAATAATTACCATGCTGTCATAAAACACCCGTTTAATTACGCATTAAAATAAAAAAACACAGGGCTAATATTTACAATCAGCTATGGCAAATACCATAAAACAAATTGGAGTTGAGAAGCGGGACTTGTTTGCCTTTTGTACACCATAGATGCTCGGGTTCTGTGTATAATCATTATATACCATAATTATATATGGGACCCTTGTTGGTTTGGTAACCAGTGGTATTTGCACCCGATTAAATATATGGTTGTCAAGATTTAACGTTTTTCTGTTTGGCTTCTGAGGCTCTTGGGTGTATTTGATTATTAAAACGTATTATTATTACTATAGACATACAGATAAGGATTTAACCTCATCTTGAGTAGCCGCATACCTGAGTCTTTTTATCGGGATTAGCCTCCCGAAAGATTGAATTTAAAACTTGATTGATGACTGGTGACAATAGTCAAAATAAATCCTAAAGCAATAACGATAAGCTCCCATTGAGATACCTATGTTGCGAAAATCTTGAAACAATATCAAGAATAGTTGCGCTAGTACTGAGTGCTACACAACATAATTCCAAATTGAGAATTGATCATCTGCAAGCTGCAAGGGAAAATATAAAACTAAATGCTAAGTAGGTAGGATCTCAATACAATAACATCCCAGGAGATGTATGAGAATATATGTAATTGAATAGTAGAATATTCAAGGAACTTCTTATCAAAATTTTGGGATACTTATTCCAGGAAATGCTTTTGTGATCAAAATAGATGTGTTGTTGAAACATTCCTGCGACATTTTCTAATTTTCTATACTTAAACTGAGAAAAATTTGATATTGGTTTGTACTTGGGTTTTGTACAATCACCAAGTTTGTGATTCCAACAACTTATAACATACTAGAAATAGGAATATAATATGTACTATCAAAGTAGGTACTAATAAGACAAGTATTTGTGAATGTTTCAGCAAAGAATCACCAAAAGTGCAGAATGATAGATACAAAATGAAGCACCCCTGTATTTTGGATCAGTAAGTACATCAAATGAGCAACTTTACTTTGACCATAGATAAGTAGTATATATAGGTAGTTTACCATTCTCATACGGAGTAGTACCACAGCTTGTTTTAGATAGATAGATAGATAGATAACTACAAATTTCTTTCAAAAATATATTTTCATCCTCACAAAAGTTCTGAGTGATCAATATTTTATCTCTTCTTGGCTCTTGTGAAAGCTTCAGTAATGAATCATGATTTATTCATAGGAAATATAAATGATTGATACCAATATGACCATACATTTTGAATGAGTCAAGGCACTTTGATAACAAATATTTGTTTTGAAAATATATTTTTACCATGAACATTGTACAAAAGTTTCAGTGAAGTATCAATCATCATAAGAGAATCATTCACAATAAGAACCAATACGATAGATAAAAAACTGACTTACAATAAAGTCTTATATCTACATAATCCAAGAATTTCTATTTAAAATATTCTTCCAGATTTTTTCTTCTAAACATCTAAACAATATCTCTATCCAACAAAACTATTCTTACCTATTAAATGTTCAAAAATAAAACAGACCACTGTTAAATCCCGTGTTAAAATTGGCACATGAAACACACTCTCCTCGATAATTCATTCATTCCACAGTCAATAAATTCACTTATTGTAAATATTTACGGCACAACACACACACGTCTTCTACGCTAGGCCAGAGTTACTGATTGAATTATTCTTAAGTTTTATCGGGGGGAACGAATTGTTTATATCCACGAGAGCGATGCGATAATTTTGTGCCGCAGAGAGGAACTCGTACAATAGGTACGAAAGCGCTCGATACACACTGACTGAAACGAACCGAACGAAACGAACTTGATGGGCAAAAGCTCTCGAAAAGCGTGGCCAAAGCTCGAGGGAAGTGGTGGAGAGTCGACGCGGACGCAGTGAACGCTTTCAGGAGATTTTTAAACGAAGATGGGAACCTGTACAGTGGCAGGCAGGATGAGGGCTGATTTCAAAAAGAGGGATGGTTTTTCTAAATTTTGTTGAAATTATTAGTTTTTTGAATTGAATCAAAAAAACTCGTTGAAGTTGAAATTCTGCTAACCTATCAGAAGTTTGATGTAAAGGATTCGATATCTTCCCAACAAAAATTCTTGAGAATAACAACAGAGTCTTAGGAAGCTTCTGACTTCATATTTGCTCTTTGTAATGAATAGAACTAAGGTTTAGTAAATTTTGAGGCTACAGTTATTGAAAAAACCCTGTCTCACACTAAAACCAACTTCAAGAAGAAGAAGAGGAAACAGTATATGAGGATTCAATTTTATAAAATTCCGCAAACTTTCCTGAGGATCAATTCAATCGAAATTAAAGGAGAAGTCAATAATCCGCCCGAAGTTGAAGGAAGTTGTACTGTGTCACTAGAAACAAATACCCGTACATATGAAAACTTGACATTACTGGTTATGAAAAATCTTTGGTCGGATATTATATTGGGACACGATTTTCTACATCATCATTCTAAACTTGAGATGTCATTCAATAGAAATCTGGATACTTTGAAAGTATGCGTTTTGATGCAAGCAGATATTACTCCTGCATCTCTATTCACGAATCTCAAACACTTGCAGACCTATAGCTATTAAATCTAAGAAACAATCACTAGAAGACCTGAAATTTATCGAACAAGAAGTCTGGATAATGCTTTCTGAAGGTATTATTGAAAAGAGTAATTGTGCCTTGGAGAGCTCAAGTTTAGTCACTTCCAGTACAAATCATAAGAGACGAATGGTAATCAACTATGCCCAGACTATAAACAAAATCACTGAACTAGACGCATCTCCACTTCCAAATATAGAAGACATTATTTCAAAAGTGTCAAGGTACCAAGTTTTCAGCACTATAAATCTAAAGAGTGCATATCACCAAATTACAATTCTTGAACATGAAAAACCTAATACAGCGTTTGAGGCGTGCGGCAAACTAAGTATATCATTTCACGAGAATTCCTTTTGGTGTTACCAATGGAGTTGCTAGTTTTCAAAAAGTTGTTGACAGTATAATCAAGAAAGAAAATCTTCAAGGCACATATGCTTATCTTAATGATATCACAGTAGGTGGTAGGACTCAAGAAGAACATGACAAAAATCTTCAAAAATTCTTTAAAGTTGCTGAAAAGTATAAACTTACTATAAACTCTACTAAATCGAAGAAAAATAAATCTCCTAGGATATGAAATTGAAAATCAACAAATCAAACCTGATCCTACTTCGAATCTTTCTGGACGATAGAAACGTTCCATTTCTTCGCTGATTTTAAAAAAAATATTTGTCTAATAAATTGTAATGAATAGAACTTCCGAATTATACCAAAATATTGGCTTTATTAGGGCCAAACTATGGACCAACTGGTAAGTGTCTGGTTGCTACCTAGCAGGTACTTTCTATTATCTAGAGCATGGGAAGTACCTGCTAAGTAAAATCAGTCTCTTCTTTGAAGAATACGACATATTCACTTTGTCCTGAAATAAGACACACTTCCCTAAAATCAATTATAGGCTGGTACCTCAAATTCCTGGCAAATAGATTATTCAAATTCTTCGAAGTCTTTGCCTCATGCCCATCAATCAAATCTCCCAAAACTAACTCCATCCTTCTGTTGCTGGCTTGAAATGGCTCCAGCTCTTTCTGCAATGCTCAAGTTATTCCAAAAATTTACAAATATTCTCATTTCCTTAATGTCATCAATTTGCCTTCACAATCTTTTCACTATTTCTAGGAAATCATATAGGTATCTATGATTTAATCTATACAGTCTTTGTTGATGGTGAAAAAGAAAACTATTCCTTTTGCCCCATTTTCAAAACTCCGCATTTCCAAAGTACACAGATAAGAAATCGAAAGATTAAGACTCATCTACCATCTACTGAGTCAACAACCATATCACTTCTACCTTATTCAGTTAAGTGCTGCTTAGACCCAATGTCACTGTGGTCTCTCCAGACTCTCCAGAAGCATTAATTCATTCAATCTCCTTTAGCTCTTTAGTTATTTATCCAACCGAACCTCTCGATGTCACTACTAACTAAATTAGCTTGCTTTGGTATGCACTTGGCTAAGATAATCCATTCAGCAATATTCTGGAAAATTTCGAGTCTTTCCTCGTAATGCCTGAACCAATGTTGTATTTTTGTTCCTACAACTCATTGGACCAAAAGCGGATTTTACATGGACCAGTCATTTAACATTGGTGGATAGAATTGGTCGCTTATATGAGAGAAACTCATTTGATAGATCGATTTACCTGTTTTTTTCCTTGTTGATTTTATCATGAGTTTTCTTCTCCAACTTTGTATATTTTTTTTGAAGTTTTTGAGTAATTAACTGTTTCTTCCAGATTGTTGCTATTGAAGATTAGTTTCTGGATTTCACCAAGTTGAAATGCATCCAATTTCGATTAGCAAAACAGCTTTTAATGTAAAAAATGGATATTATGAACTCGTATGCCCTTCGGATTAAAAAATGCTCCCGCGACATTCCAAAAAGTAACGGATAACGTATTTATAGGACTACAAAACAAAATATGTCTAGTTTATATGGACAATATCATAATATTATCCACTTCTCTTCAAGAACATATTGCAAATCTTAGAAAGATATTTGAAATATAAGAACAATTTAATCTATAAAACTACAATTAGACAAATCCGAATTCTTTAAAAAATCAGTAGAACTCTTGAAACTCCAAATGCAATTTACAATCTACTCGTATGTAGAAATTTCTGACTCCTTTGAGTTTTTTCCTGGACATGTGGATTGTAGGGGGAGTTGTTTCGGCTTTCCAGCCGCTCAGCATGAAGAGTAAATTACTATTTCTGTCATTTGGTCTGTCGAAATGTTTCTGCCTGATTATCGACTCGTTCAACGTTCTCCAAATATACCAACCGACTTGCGTGCACAGACGACTTTTATATAGTTCTTCGATTATTGGCTTCCTTATGATTTCGATTTTTGTAAACTTTAAACAATCATAACTTGTTTCTATTAGAGATAGAAAGCTGAAATTGTCTACAATCCCTGAAAATTTCAGCTCATTTGGACTTATAGTTCCAGAAATAAAATCGTGTTAAGCAATTTAGGGTGATTTATCAATTTTTCAATTTTTCTGAGTACCTTTTCTCATAGAATCCGGCTCTAAATCTCAGAAAAATTTAGTTTATGGAGTTTGAGCGATCCCAAAGGACCATTAGAACACAAAATTTCAACAACAAAAAAATTGAAATTTCATCGTTTTAGTACTAAAGTAGCTACCTACCTTAGTTACGAAAGATAGGTTTAATGGCTATAAAGAGTTTTCATAAGGAGGTGTTGCCAGATTGTGGATAATTTTGGGAGGGTTTTGGGTTTCTCTTTTACATGAACTAACTAGGAGCACAATGCTAAGAGCCTCCTTTCGTATTGCCAAAACCTGAATGACAAGGCTAACAGAATTCCAGCTCAGCTCAGAGGTTGATTTCGGTTCCGAAACCTAATTCCCTCTACTTTCGGGGTAACTCGCACATTAATATAGGTCTGTTTCTCTGCAAAAATCACAAACCAGTCATGGCGAATTTCATTGGTTGAAAACAGTCAGAAAACTAGTGTCAACCAATGAAATTCACTCTGACTGGTTTGTGATTTCTGTAGAAACAGGCCTGATAAATTTTACTCATGATAAATCTCCAACTGTAAATTCTTATAATACTTACCCCCTCTACTATAGGCCTGTCATTTAATATGACGGAATAGAGTCAGTGATTTATTTGGCACGTAATTTGAAATATCAAATTTGGGTTCCTCTTAGAATGTAAGTAATTCCTTAACAGAGGTGTCTGCCCAAATCTGAATGCAATTATATCATAGATTTTAGGAGTAATTTTGATCTAAAGTCGGCTATAGAGTTTTTCTGTGTAGACTGTAGACAGCCAGTTCTCAATATCACGTGAGAAAATAAGAAATAAAATCCATTATTGCAATCGCGAAAATTATTAAGATTCCAGATAATATCACCGTCAATAATGGTTTCGAATGACCGTGTAAAGTACTTAAAATAATCAAATCGAAAAAAGTATATACGTTCAAGATTGATTTACAAACTCATAAACGTCCGAAATTGTTGCGTCTGACTAGAACAGGAAAGTGGAAAGCCGGTAACAAATAATAAAAGGAAAATTTTACGGCGGTTTTATAGTGTGTTCAGATTTACTAGACCGATTCATGGCCTTTTGGAAAACATATGCTCGTTGATTTTTATTAGTGTGTGTGTGCTTTTTTCGTCTAGTTTATTAGTTAGCAGTACCGTTTTTAAGAGAAAGCTTTCAATAATAATTAATATCTTATTAGCAGTGAAATTTTATAGACTGTTTTTAATGCTATCTTGACTTTTAAACTCTAAAATTAATAAAACAACACGTGAAATCTAATAAACGGCGACGAGATTCTTGGTTTTACATAAACATTTAAGTAAAGTATGTGATTTTTATGAAAATATATTCATATCGTGAACCCGTGACTTTTGCGACCAAGCATATAATGTTTATCTAATAATATTATTCGCAAATAATGCAGTTGAAGATCAAAAACATATAATTTCTAATAATCACTACATAATAATTGCAAAATCCTCGTTGCCATTTTAATTATCGAACCCTTCTGAGCGCTAGCACGTGGCGAAAATGGCGATAATTGCAAATTACGACTGCGTTGCTGTAATTATACGAATTTCATGATTATGATTTTGATTTTTTCCGAAGCTCATTTTGTCTTCGAGTATTACAACCCGGGAACAAATCTATG